AGGAATACTCGGCGACCAAACTATAGACAACTTTCTAACGGAGACTTCAATAGTGAGGATGAGTTCAGTGAAGACCAGTTCAATGGAGATATGGTAACACAAGTGCCATATAGTGGTAGACATCTGTCCAGACGTGTCAAATCGGAACTGCTTTACAACGAGAATTACGAGACGGAGGACGGAATGCCTCATTTGGAGGCAGAGTTGGCTCAAGAATCCGATGCTTTGCAAGTGATTAACACCGAAGAAGACAATCTTATGAATAGCGATGAGGAAGAGGTTTATGAAGACGATTATCTATCGGATGTGGAAGCAGGTGAGGGCCCCTCCACTGCCAATCTCAAGTACACTGTCGAAGAATATGTGGAATCAGTGGAACCGAGAGGTCTCATAAGAAATCCCATTTCAGTGATTCCTCGAAGAGCTAACAAACCATTCATTAGTCGAAATAGAAGAAGGTTTGCGAAACGGATTCTTTGTATTTTGTAATTGCATTCAAACATCATTTATAACCTATTCTTTGAATGAATTCTTTAGGAAAAGCATTCATAAGGGAAACGATTCCAATGTCAGTCTCAACACAAATTCATTGCTTAGGACGGGAGGCCAACCGATGATTAGGACGCCACCCATGATAACGGGCGTACTTGCCATCAAAGCGGATCCGGACAAAGTGGAGATCATTCACTGCAATCTGTGTCCGCGCGTCTTCTCGCAGACCTCGAGTCTAAGCATTCATATGAAGCGAATCCACGGCAACGAACAGAAGGAACACATCTGCGAGTTGTGCGGAAAGAAGTACGCCTGGAGGTCAGGCCTATACAAACATATGAGGACTCACCGCTGATAGACCTCAGGCTAAACCAACAGCCCTTTCCGATTGCCAGCTCTTTAGATGGAAATAATTTTTTACTTAAATTCATAACTGATTTTATTACACAATTAATTAAATAAGTTATTATTGATACTTAAATCATTGAATACTATTAGACATTCATAGTTATAAACTTTGTGATTGTTTAATAACTTTTTATATAATTTTTGTTTGAATACAAATACATAAAAACTATTTAAAATTAATGATTGACTATTTGATTTAATGGAAATGTATTTGTAGGTGAATCCAAGGTTTTGTTAACAATTTGTGAATAACTTTTTGTGATAACATTAGTGGCTTATAATATAAGAATCTATAATTGACTACAAGTTTTGCAAATATTTTAATACAATTATTAAATAGCAGATAATAAGTTATAAATTATTAAAAATTTTACAAAATAATACAAAAGTTTTTGATATTGTTTTCAATAGTGTTTGCATTCATATGAAAAAATATAAAATATTTGGTTTAATCCTTAATTAATTTAATCCAAATATTGGTTAAATTGAATAGTTTTTTGGTATAAATATTTTGCGATAAAATTATTCAAATTTAAATATAAGTAACACTTTTATCGGTATTCAATCTGTTTTAAGTTATAGTTTAGTATAACATATACAGTATAATAAGACTGGAATTTAAAATTAAATTTAAAAACTAAATAAACAATTAAATTGACGACAATATTGAGGCACAGATTGTGACGATGACTGCGATTTGCATTTTAATTAAAGCACTCAATTTAATGCACTTTTGTTTCCTATAATACGATCTGAATATTGACGACAAATACTGGCAATAATTTGTTTTTATATTAATTACATAACAAATAATTAGAAAATGTTTAACATTTAGTACTTTTACTGTTAAAACCATTTCTAGGACTAGAGTTAAATGAATGCTGTTTTGATGAGTTTAGCGATGATTTAATGGATGATTCATTTGATTTATGATTAACACGATTAGTGTTTGTTTTGAATTCATTGATGTGTTTGTATATGACTTTTAGACAATCGATTCGGGGACAGGTATTGCAAAACAGGGGTATTAACACATTGTCTCTATACTTGTTGTTATTATTATTACTTTTATTATAAGTATTAGTGTTTCCACCGATTGTGGGCTCCGTTTGTGACTTAGTTTTGCTATCATTTGAATTGTCACTCAATAGTATAGTACTTAATGACAGGGGAATGGACACCAAGTAGTAGATCACTCGATGCTATCATTGAAACAATGAGTCAAACAATTAGTCAAACAATTAGTCAAACAATTAGTCAAACAATTAGTCAAACAATTAGTCATTTAGTAAACAATGGTATCATTAATGCTAACCATAGTAATGGCTTCGTTGATGATTATAGTAGAGCTCAGTATGAATTGCGAGCGCTTCCAACACTTGCCAAACAGTGAGTAGTGTTGTGTCAACTCAAGACCCGACACATTGTCTAACAGACTCCGTTTGTGACTTAGTTTTGCTATCATTTGAATTGTCACTCAATAGTATAGTACTTAATGACAGGGGAATGGACACCAAGTAGTAGATCACTCGATGCTATCATTGAAACAATGAGTCAAACAATCAGTCATTTAGTAAACAATGGTATGATTACTGCTAACCATAGTAATGGCTTCGTTGATGATTATAGTAGAGCTCAGTATGAATTGCGAGCGCTTCCAACACTTGCCAAACAGTGAGTAGTGTTGTGTCAACTCAAGACCCGACACATTGTCTAACAGATGCTAACCATAGTAATGGCTTCGTTGATGATTATAGTAGAGCTCAGTATGAATTGCGAGCGCTTCCAACACTTGCCAAACAGTGAGTAGTGTTGTGTCAACTCAAGACCCGACACATTGTCTAACAGTACTATCGACTCTGCAATACAAATATCTATTAATGGTATCATTAGATCACCAATAGATCCATACCTTTATACACCGGTGTTCGCCAATACACTAATGCTATCATAAGGACAATAGTCATCGACAGTATCACCAGTCGATCCAACTGTTCCAAGAGATACTAGTGTTAGACAGTTGAGTGCATAATGATTAAGAAATATAATCACAATTTTGTTGACATTGGATGAGAAGACAATGGACACTAAGACTATAGTCAATGCCAACCATTGCAACGAATCCATTCTTCGGTTAGTTTTGGTGATCATTAGTTGACAGCAATTAGTGAACCGATGAATGTCCAGACAAATGGGTTCTCCCAATAGGTTGTGGTATTGGCGGCGAAGTACTAGCATTTGAAACCATTCAGCAATGCGTGTGACACTCAATACCATCGATGGTTCACTTCATGTGGACATCACCTGAACTCTGCATGCAATCAATGATTTTCATGCGATTCAAAGCCATTGAAAAGCAATTGAAAACGCCTTAAGCCCTAAGCCTTATGCAAGCGTTCATGAAATGTTTATCAATGTTTGTCGCTCACAAACATTGTTACATATATTTGAGGGGCGATCGGGTACTGCTGTATGCAATGCGGCTATTGTTAGTACAGGGGTTCGTAAACGTATGATGTGTTCATGTTTTGTGAATACAATTATTGACTGCATTCACAACAAATGCCGATAACATGAATCTATGTGTAAATGATGTGAACTCACAAATAGCCCCTAAATGTAGCCATACATTGACAGCTTCATGCAGTGTATGTGATGTTTGCCATTATTTGTCTCATATTATGTACACGTAATTGAGTTGCCATTTGACTCATGAGTTGATCGCAAATGCGTTTGTGAGACATATTGATCGTCACTGAACGGATCCATTGAATTGTCGCCAATTGGTGTCCATTCATAGTATTAGGCACTCATTGAAGACGTTGTCGAAATCGTGGATCAGTTGAACGCTGAACACAAAGTCTGTGAAAAGCAAACGTTTGCATAGATTCTCTGTTTGTGTTATGAAATCAGTGATCAATTGATTCAATTGAGCCCTTCTTTGCAATCGTCTATTAATAACCAAAATGGCGGACCAATTCTTCGACAGAGAGGCTGAGCTGTCGAATGGCAGCGAAGACGAAGAGGTGAGGAATGATGTCCGCAATAAGAAGAAGTCTCGCAATTTCGAGGACTCGGAGGAGGAGGAAGAAGATGGTAAGTGTGGGGACAATGGGGTTGTGGTTGTGGTTGTGGTGACAGTGGATCTACTGGTATGACGGCCTCTGTATTAACGAAAAGGGTTTGCTTTCAGACGAGGATCGCCTCAAAGAGGAGATGAAAGACCTGATCAATGATGACGACGAGGAAGAGCCGGAAGAGTCGGACGAAGAGGTGACGGGACGGAAGAGACAGCGAGAGGACGACGATCTGGAGGAAGACCTCGAGGACGACGACTACGATCTGATTGAAGAGAATTTGGGCCGAAGAATAGAGAGGAAGAAGAAGTTCCGTCGCGTCCAACGGCTCAGCGATGACGAGGACGAGGAGAGGCCCGTCGCTAACGAACTGAACGACAGGGAAGCGATCGCTAACGAGCTCTTCGACAACGACGACGACACCGACAGACAGCCGACGGCCGTCCGCAGGGATCGCAGCGATCGCGAGGCCATTGACGACCGGTTCGCAGAGCTCTCGGGTTCTGAACACTCGGACGACTCGGACGAAGACAACTTCATTGTGGACGACGACGACCGTCCCATTCGGCCCGCAGTTCGCAAACCAAAGTCCCATCGATTCACAGACGAAGCCCTACAACAGGCGCAGGACATCTTCGGCGTCGACTTTGACTTCGAGGAGATCCAGAACTTCGATGAGTCCGGAGATTACGACGAAGAGGGCGAGGAGGAGATGGATGAGTACGAGGAGGGCGACGGAGACGCCACTCAGCGGTCGGAGCGCAAGAAGACTCGCAAGAGAAGAGGCGCCCGAAAGAGTATATTCGAGATCTACGAGCCCTCGGAGCTCGAGAGGAGTCATCTGACGAAAGTGGATAACGACATCCGAAACGCCGACATTCCCGAGCGCTTCCAACTGCGAGCAGTGCCCGTCAGTCCGTGCGATGAGCAGGAACTGATGGATGAGGCGGAATGGATCCATTTGAACGCATTCTTCACGCCTACGATCTCTATTCAGGACGACTCCGGAGAGGGAAGGAACGAACCCATCGGTGGATCCAAACCCAAGACAGCCGTACTTAAGATCAGAGAAGCGCTTCGATTCATACGAAACGAGTTATTGGAGGTGCCGTTCATTACTCACTACCGCAAAGAGTATGTGGAACCGGATCTCACTGTCAATGACTTGTGGATTATCTACAAGTTTGACGAGAAGTGGTGTCAACTTCAGGCAAGAAAAGTCAATTTGAATCAATTGTTCCGAAATATGCAAATCTATCAAACGGAACAACTCATGAAAGATAACGATGAAGTACTTCCCGAAGGCATCCGTCTTATCAACGACGAGGACATAAATCGCGTCAATTCTGTGACCAATTTCGAAGAGTTGAGGGACTGTTGGGTTCACTTCCAGCTTTACTACTCGTCGGAAGTGCCGAACATGAAGAAGGATTTGCTTCGAAAGGAACGCCAGCGAAGGCTCGAAGAGATTGGCACTGACGAGGACGCCGAGAAGATTCTGGCCGAAGAGGAGGAACAGATGAACGCGAAGCTGTCGTCCATGAGATTGGCGCAGCGGAAAGACACGTACACCATCTGCAAGGAGGCCAACATCATAGGTCTGGTGACCAAATTCGGTCTGACGCCCGACCAGTTCGGCGAGAACTTGAGAGACAACTACCAGCGCCACGACGTGGAACAGTATCCGATGGAGCCGTTAGAGGCAGCCCACGACTACGTCTGTCACCGGTTCCCGGCGCCCGATAAGGTGCTACAGGCGGCCAACTTCATGGTCGCCAAACAGATCAGTTGCGATCCCATTGTCCGCAAGTCTATGCGTCAGATCTTCTTCGACAGGGCCCACCTTCACGCGCGGCCCACCAAAAAGGGCATCAAAGAGATCGATGAAAACCATCCGTGTTTTATACACAAATATCTCGTCAATAAACCCATCAAAACCTTCGGTGGCGACCAATTCCTGCAACTTATGGTCGCTAAGAGCGAGGGACTCATGGAGTTTGAGATCACTATCGATCAGTTGGACATCACCTCCGGTCTGCAGCAACCCGTCCCCAAAGCCAAGTATTTCGATGAAATCCGACAGCTTTACTACAGAGTGAGTGCTTTGGTTTACATTGGATTGTGTGTTGACTAGAGTATTGATTAAATGGTTTGATTTGTAGGATGAGTTCAGCATTAATGTGCAGCAATGGAACGCTCAAAGGGCCGGCGCTCTCGAGATTGCTCTTAACAAGTTTCTGTACCCGAGCTTTGAAAAGGAACTCAAGACTAAGCTCATGACTGAGGCTCAGGACGGAATCGTAAAGGTATTGAAACTTTTCAATTGACTATTTGCTTAAAGTTAGCCTCAGTTATGAGTCACTCCTTTATTCCCAGTTTATCTTACATTCAATTGATTTGCTGTTTATTCCGGGAGTTATAGAATCAATGGTTTTCTTCAATGAATTGCTTTTTAATTATTTTTACAAAGCCTTTGAATAACCGATAAATGTATTGTTTGTTACAGAAATGCGTGAATCGGTTGTCCTCATGGCTTCGTGTGGCTCCCTATCAGTTGAGTCCAGACATCCAACTCGATGACGACGAAGACTTTGATACGAGAGAAGGCATCCGAGTGCTGGGACTGGCGTTTGTGCCGACCAATGATGACGCCTCGTTCGCCGCCATCATCGATGGAGACGGAGAAGTGACTGATTACCTGAAATTGGAGTACTTTATGCTTAGGAAGTATGAGTGGCAGTCAGAACAGGAGAAGCACCTGAAAGAGAAAGACTACGAGAAACTCAAGAAATTTATTCTAAACAAAAAGCCGCACGTGATTGGCGTCGGCTGTGACACCATTATCACCAGATATGTGATCGAAGACATTAAGGCTATTATCACAGATCTGAACGAAACGGAACAGTTTCCTATGATTGCTGTCGAGTTTGTGGACAATGAAGTTTCCAATGTGTATATGAATAGCAAGAAAGCGCTGTTAGACTTTCATAATTATCCGCCACACCTTCGCAGAGCCATATCAATAGCCCGAAGATTACAGGACCCGCTCATAGAGTTCTCGCAATTGTGTACCGCGGATGAGGAGATTCTTTGCATCAAATACCACGCCCTTCAGGAGCACATTCCGAAGGATGATCTCCTCAACAGTCTTTACCTCGAATTCGTGAACCGAGTCAATGAAGTGGGTGTTGACATCAACAGAGCTATAGTACACCCGCACACCAGTCAATTGGTTCAATTCATCGGAGGTCTGGGCCCTCGGAAGGGCGCGTATCTGATCCGTACGCTTAAGAAGCAACAGACGCCACTTCTGGAGAACAGGACTCAATTGGTTCAGAACTGTAATATCGGGAAAGTGGTGTTCATAAACTGCGCCGGGTTTATAAGGATAGACACGGCATCACTGACCGACTCGGGGACTGATACTTACATCGAAGTGCTCGACAGTACTCGCGTTCATCCGGAGGCCTATGAATGGGCCCGAAAGATGGCTGTCGACGCTCTGGAGTACGACGAAGACAATGACACAAATCCCGCGCAAGCTTTGGAGGAAATCATTGAAAATCCAGAGAAACTGAAAGATTTAGATTTGGATGCTTTCGCAGAGGAACTGACCCGACAGGGAATGGGTCTCAAGACTATCACCTTATATGACATCAGAGCAGAGCTAAGCAATCGTTATAAAGACCAGAGACTACAGTTCCAATCGGCGAACCCCGAAGAGATCTTCCAGATGTTGACGGGAGAGACACCCGAATCCTTCTATAACGGGAAACTAGTGATGGGACGGGTAGTAAAGGTCGCCCGTAGGAAGCCGTTGAGCGAGCAGTTAGATCAGGCGAACCCTGTGCGCAACGACGAGACGGGTCTCTGGAAGTGTCCCTTTTGTAATAAAAGCGATTTTCCGGAGTTGAGTGAAGTGTGGAACCATTTCGACGCCGGCGCCTGTCCGGGTCAGGCCATTGGTATTCAAGTGAAACTAGACAATGGACTCCAGGGTTTGATTCAGACCCGACTCATCAGCGATAAGGAAGTGATAGACCCGCTCGAGAGGGTACAGATCGGACAGACTATTCACTGTCGGATACTTAAGATTCTTGTTGAGAAGTTCTCTGTGGACCTGACGTGTCGTACGTCCGACTTATTGGACAATAGTTATCAGTTTAAACCGCAGAGAGACCACAACTTCTACTATGAGGCCGAGACTAAAGACCAAAACACCGAAGAGCAGCATAAGAAGCGGCAAAGCCGTCAAACTTATGTCAAACGCATTATAGTTCACCCGGCGTTTCACAACATTGATTACAAACAGGCCGAGAAGATGTTGGCCACACTAAAGACCAAAACACCGAAGAGCAGCATAAGAAGCGGCAAAGCCGTCAAACTTATGTCAAACGCATTATAGTTCACCCGGCGTTTCACAACATTGATTACAAACAGGCCGAGAAGATGTTGGCCACGTTGGACCAGGGTGAGGCCATCATCAGACCTTCCAGTAAGGCCAATGATCACCTGACCCTCACATGGAAAGTGCATTCAGGAGTCCACCAACACATCGACATTCGCGAAGAGGGCAAAGACAACGCCTTTAGTCTCGGACACGAGTTGTATATAAATAATGAGTCGTACGAAGACTTGGATGAAATCATTGCTCGTTATGTCCAACCGATGGCCTCCTATGCCAGAGATCTGACTAATTATAAGACATTTAAGGAAAGCGAAGGAAAGCGCGAAGAATTGGACCGAATGTTGATGGAGGAGAAGAAGAAGGCGCCCTCAAGGATACCGTATTTTGTGACCGCATCTAAGGGTTTGTCACAATTGTTTGCTTAAGAAGTGAATGATTTTAATACTGTTTGTAATTGTGTGCAGAATATCCAGGGAAGTTTTTGTTGTCATATCAGCCAAACATGAAGTCGTTTCACGAGTACATCACTATTACACCCGACGGCTATCGCTATCGGCAGCAACCCTTCCGATCTGTCAGTCAACTCTTCAAATGGTTTAAACTCCACTTCAACGACAGGTCGACTTTCCCGCGAACACCAGTCGCCACTCCATCGGTGGTGAGAACACCGGCCGGCAGTTCGTCGTTCATCAACTCGACGGGCACTCCAAACATCGACCCGCAGGCCATACAACGCGCGGCCGCCTCTATGCCCACCCATGTGTTCAACGCTCTGTCGCAAGTGGCCGGTCAGACGCCGTCGTTTGGAGGGGCGGCCCAACAGTTCGGAAGTGGCTCTCACTCGTCGTCAATGGGGCCGCCATTCGGTGGTCACTCGCGTGGCTTTTACGGCCAAAGCGGCGGTTCTCAAGCGACGCCTATTATGACACCAAATATGACGACTCCTCGCAATTATCAGGCCAATACCCCCGGGTCTATGCCCCCGCCCGCTAACATACCCTCCCACCAAAGGCCCGGATCTCGCAGTGGACAGCAGTGGGGCTCTATTGCCGAGGGTTGGAATCAGAAGCCAAAAGTAAAGGACAGGACTCCGCTGTACAACACTCCCGGCGCCTCCTCCCAGATGTCTATCAGTCCCAACACTAACACCCCTAATGTCAGAGGAGACCAGACACCGCTCGTCGACGAGTGGAATTGAAACCTATCTTTAATTCAGTTTTTAATATTTTAATCGCAAATACTGTACTTGTTTTAGATTTCATTAAATGTATGAATCATTAAAATTATATTCATTAAAAAACTTTATTAAATGATTTCAATTGCTGTCCACACCTCACCCCTACCCCTACCCCTACCCCCACCCAAGGACTATGTTTTAACTATTGTGTCTTAACTTTAAAATTACCGGTAATTAAAAAATAGTCAGATTTCTCGTTATGATAGCCGTTATGATGAGTGTCGCGCAGTCGCACAAACACTGCGATGACAGCGCTCTCACACGACACGCACCACACAAAGCGTGTATTCATTGCAGTCATTGCTATCATTGCTATCATTGCTGTTGTGTTGACCGGCATTGCGTTCATTGTATTTACTGACCACTCATTCATCTCTATTATCCCGCGATCACCACTTGACCACCAATTATCTTCACACAGACACTTATAATGCAAACTCCAGGTGTGAATGAAGGCGACGGAATGCCCACCTTTAAGGTATGCCATCAATAAGCTAACGGCCCTCTCATTGTCACTAACCGTTGTAACCATTGTCTGTGTCTGTGTTGACTACCAGTGCGTTCTTGTGGGCGATGGCGGCACAGGAAAGACTACTTTCGTTAAGAGACATCTGACCGGAGAGTTCGAGAAGAAATACGTCGGTATGTGTTGCCATCACTTGACCCAAAGACTGAATCATTGACATGTGTTTGTGTTTTGTGTGTTTTCAGCCACTCTTGGAGTGGAAGTGCATCCTCTGGTGTTTCACACAAATCGAGGGCCCATTCGGTTCAATGTATGGGACACTGCGGGTCAGGAGAAGTTCGGTGGACTCAGGGATGGCTACTATATCCAGGGTATGACCGCATAATTGTATTGATTGTCGTATGACTAACAGTTTGTTGTGTCTGACGACAGGCCAGTGCGCTATAATCATGTTTGACGTGACCTCACGAGTGACCTACAAGAACGTGCCCAACTGGCACCGGGATCTCGTGCGGGTCTGTGAGAATATACCCATTGTTTTGTGCGGAAACAAAGTGGACATCAAAGATAGGAAAGTGAAGGCAAAGAGTATTGTCTTTCACAGGAAGAAGAATCTACAGGTAATGCAGTGGTAGATGTTCGAGATGTTTGGTTCACCACTTAAATGATGACATTTAACATACATTTATGATGCGATGATTATTAGTCCCTCTAAACTGATGACTATTTGATATTACCGTAAGATTTATGAATGATTAGTGAACTAATGGTTTGTCCATCTGTTCCAGTACTATGACATTAGCGCCAAAAGTAACTACAACTTCGAGAAGCCGTTCCTATGGTTGGCTCGTAAGCTGATCGGTGACCCGAACCTGGAGTTCGTGGCGATGCCAGCGCTGGCGCCCCCGGAGGTGCAGATGGATCCCGCGTGGCAGAAGAAGCTCGAAGAGGACATGATTCAGGCGCAGAACACATCACTTCCTGATGACGACGACGAAGACCTTTAATTCATTTCTATTCACTTATTCTGTACTCTATTTGATTGAATATATCGTCAAACAATGCTTTTCTCTTAAGATAATAACAAAATTACTTTATTTTTAAATACATTGTGTTTCGCAATTGAATTGCATTTCAAGTGATTCTCTGTTTAAATTCACATTAAATTTTGTAATTATTGTATGAATTGTTTTTCTCTCACTTTCCAATCAAAACCAAATGTCATTTCAATTAATAGTAGTTTTAAACACTGATTAAACTCGTTGTCATCAAAACAATCCTAAAATCTTGCGCTCCTTTTCCTCGCCGTGTATTTGGTGTCAGCCCTCACGTGCTTTCCCTGACGTCTTCGGCGCTCTTTCTTATCGAGTATCCATTGGCGAGACTTTTTCGGTGCTCTAGACGGCTGTCCCCGACCCGTGATCTCACGTTTACTACTGTAAGGAACGGTATTGTCGTTGGATTCGGTCAGTCCTTTAGGCAACTGTTGAGCGGTTCCGCCGGCGAACAGAACTAAAAACATTTTCTTGGCTTTAGTACTGTTGGGGAAGTCGACGACCAGTCCTCCCGTAAAGCCAGCTCTCATGGCCTGAGCGGTGATTAACTCGATTTGAGAGCCGTTTTCGGGATAAAACTGAAAGACTGCGCGACTGTTGCGACACAAACACGAGTACAACGACGAGAAGAACCGGTAGAGCCGTTGCACCGGAGAGTGAGTCGATTTGTCGGCATTACAGAGCCATTGGATACACGATATACTGATCGCACCATCGAAGGCACCCGCTCTGAAGGGAACTCCTTCTCCCAAATCACTCAACAATATGTCTCCCGATTCTGAACCACGACTTCGACACACATTAAGCATTGCTTGACTGATGTCCAGACCAACCCATGTGTGGCCCATCTCTTCCAGCACTTGACCGCTAAGACCTGATCCGCAGCTGAAATCAAATAATCAATTGATTAGACTATTAACTGATTGATCACTGATTGACTAAAACAAACCCCAAGTCTAATATAAGTCGTGGCGAGTCATCGGGAAGTGCCAACAATTCAATGGCTCGACCGCTCATCTGCGCCTGGATTGCGATCATTCGGGAACTAATGGGCGATACAATCAATGAGTCACTGCATCGGTGGTAAGCATTATATCAACAATACTTTGTCGTGTATTTAATGGCTTCGCTCTCATTGTAAAACTAATACAAGAAATGAAACCAATTGAGAGTGTATTAAGTGTTGATATGAGGCCATGACTTACGATCTCAGGCGGAGCCGAGTGTTCAGGTCTTCTGGAGGCCATCAGTTGATCCACAGATTGTGTTTCACAGTCAATGCAAACTGTATTTCAAACACATGTCATCACATTATACTAATATCCGACGCAAGACGGCGCTAATATGAGTGCCTTTCAGTCCAGTACTCAATGTGTTGGCAAAGCACGCGATACACAGCACTGGTTGCCATCTGTGGGTAAAGCATTGAAACATTCATTTCAAATCACATTTCACAGTAACTTAACTGTGAAGATGTCTTCACCACTCAATGTCCGCAATTCTTATGGTAACTCTTATTATCACTCAATCCTTTCACTCATTGGTAACCCTCTTAATGGCCAACAGATCCCAATCACATCATAGATAACACTCAAGACATTAGATCGTTGGACGATGTGTTGCGAGAGATCAACACAAGTGACAGTTTCGGTGATAAAAGTGACAGCAAAACGATGACCAAAACCAAAGACAAGAAGACAAAACTCAAACAAACCGGCCGTTCAATGAAGACATCGATGACAAGCGACGGTGACAGTGGTGTTGATAATGGGGGCCAAAGATACAGTCGAGTCTTTCAGGTGATATACGGCGTCCATAAGCCCTATCGGAAGCACAAACAGTTCACATGCGATGGCTTTCTGGCGGTGTCTGTCGATGGCAAACACCACCACTTGTTTGACATCAACGGCAACAGGTGTGCCATTCATTTGAATCATGTATTAAACCGTTAATTACTGTAAATGCTTTCCAATATCTGCAGAGTGTCTGGTGGTAAGGGTCTGGCGAGTGTTGACCAGTATATGATTGGAAACAATTTGGTGGTCGGCTCTCAAGAGCTAGAAATCAATGACCAAATATGTGCCCAACTATTTGAAAGCGGGCGCTTCTTTGAGACAATTGACAACTAATTCATGATTAGTATCATAATTAACACTCAAATGTTCAATACATTACTCAATAGTCATACTGTAGTGACTCATTAGTCACTTAATTGTAAATTCATTACCGGTTTTTGTATTCAATAAAAGCAATTTTGAAATTATTTTATTTAAATCCAATATTCTGTATTTAGTGAATGCATATATAAGTACTGTAATCATTAATTTGGCTGTAAATTTATACAGATTTAAGGTTTCAAGAATTATTAATATTGAATGCAATTAATTATTTTTAAAATAAATTTATGTATTGTTTATAATTATATAGTATTTGTTTTAATAGCAGCATAATTAAATTAATATTACGTAGACTTGCTAAACTTATGATTATACAGTGGTCTGAGAACTTGCACTCCCTTTCCTCCCATTCCCCTGTAATGACACATACTTTATGTGACATAACCACTGAATTTTTTAGTGAATTAAAAAATTAGCAAAATAGACTAGTTACAATTACCATAATACAATCATTGCCATAATTATTATATTTATTTACATTTAATTTATAATTATTGTTAGCATTGAATGCAAAATCAATTGATTCATTCAATTAGAGACTAAATGGCTATTGATTTGGATGCGGACGACGAGTTGACAGCACTGGTAGGCTATATACGACTGTCCATCTCATTGATTTGAATTGATTTGAATGATATGTAATCTATGTTTTGACATTTGATAGCACCTGGAGTTTGAATGGCTTCTGACCCAAGAGGTGAACACTATATTAACTCAATTGCATTCAATTATTCTGGTATTTCTACTCAAAGTCCTATCAATTGATTCATAACTCATTCGTGTCCTGTATTTGTGTGTCAGGAGTGTTGCCGTCGATTTCCGGTTCACATCCCAGGCCTGGAATCACTGGTGAAGACCGAAAAGTTTCAGTTGAACTCAACCACACATTTGGATCAAATCAAGATCTGTGCCACACTTTCAGCAGATAATATATGCTATGCTGTATGTGCTCTCAATGTCACATTACTGTCCATTACCTCCTATTCCACCCCTTATCCAAAAATGATTGTCTTCTAGGATTTAATTTGATAGTAATTCTGTGTATTTTGATATTATTTATCATATTTTCACACTTTATTATTATTTATGATTATATTTTATTATTTGTGCAAATTCTTGACCAATTCTTACTACCGTACCGTAATTATAACAAAATGTCAAATACATTGATAATTATCTCGGGTATACTATAACTTATATTCAATGTCTATATTTTTAGGACATAAACCTTCGCCTCCATAAGCACTCGAATCCCAATCAGAGAACTATTGTTCAAAATGACTGTCAATGGAAACTGCACCAGGTCTTTTTGCCATATCTATCATCGATAACCTATTTTGAGATCCTATTGTCTAAACACTAAGTCTATAATTTGCTGATCAGATTCAAGACGCGTCTAACCATCTAATGTCTGCCCTTTACTTACTGTCTTCGCCTCCTCTAAGATTCGATCGAAAGGAAAGCAAATTTGACTTCAAATCGGCTCAAGAAGTGATTGAGGTTTGAGTTGATTTTGATTCAGTTATTCATTGGTTGTAATGAATTGATTGTCACAACAGATGATTAATAACATAATGAGTTGCTTACAAAGGGGTCGAAACAGTCTTATAGTACCGAAAAAGCGCACAATTGAAGAGTTGCAGAGCAGTAGGAATATGGTATGCATTGAATCCATTGAATCCATTGAATGTTTCTATAATACGGTATAAGGAATCTATATATTCATCAATTTCTATAGCATTCCCTTCAGCCGCCACTTCCAAACGATCTCGCGGTCAGCTTTTACATCCAGTCCCACAAACTGGTGTGCGCTGTGTATCATATGCTGAAAGACCATTCCTCCGGTCAACTCAAGTTCGATATATTCCAAGTAATCATTGGGTTTGACTTCATTTGCCATCAGTATTAATGAATGTCTCTTTAAATGATAGGCCGAGACATCAGTTCCATGGCTTAGCGAAGCACTGGTACTGTTCACAGTTGGCCTCCAGTTCTGTCAACAGCTTAAGGATAAAGTTTCAGTGTTTACACAATACAAAGACATGAATTATTGATTCACACTATAAGAGTGCCATTAATAGTGACTAATAATAGAGTTTAAATTTACAATTTTAATATTTCATTGTCTAGTCTTATGTATTGCCACTCAATTAGAAACAAATGTTTATACAGCAAATTATACTAGTAATAATGTATTTTAATTTATATTTTTATTTTAATTGATAGCCAACTCTTATCACAATAGTTGCAGAATTAACTTACGGTTAAAGTAAAGTACTTTTCAGAGAAACACATTTCAATTATGCCTATTATTTCAAAGCAATAATGGATTTATGAATAAAGTACTGGTATTTGAAATTTAATAATTTGATTTATAATTAATTTCAATCATAATTAAAGCTATTAACTATACTAAAATATTACCAAGTACAGTAAGTACTGCTAATCCTAATTACCGTACTCAAAATAATATCCCTTACATCTAGGTACTCTACATCTATAAGTTATAGACTATAACCTTAAATTTTCAATCAAATTAAACTAAAAACACGTTTGGTGATGATGGTCAGATGATTTGTGTGTTATAAATATATTTACATAACATTTAATCTCAAGAATATTCTGTATTATTATTTGCAAAGTTTACAGAATATGTTCACAAATAACGCGTTGAAAAGGCTGTCATAACTGGATTGGTGTTTGTTTTGATTACAGTATTGAACACTAAAACTTAATTATTGATTCAATTAAATGTACAAACATTAGTGACCACTATATTAAACACACCACCCTTTCCACCACCCATTCCCTCACATAGTATTACCACAACGAGTACATCATATCCACACAAATGCACCGAATTTGGTAAATATATCCGCAAAACAATGTGTGACCACTTGTATGATGTGTAACCAGTTTGTGATCTCTTGTATGTCTGAACGTAACCATTAGTATGGCGTCTGACTTCTTCTACCCCAACACGGGTGGTGTCGAGAGTCATATCTATCAATTGTCTCAATGCCTCATCCAATTGGGACACAAAGTCATAATCATTAGCCACGCGTACGACGACCGCACGGGTGTGCGATATATGACCAATGGTCTGAAGGTGTATTACCTGCCGGTGTGGGTGGTGTACAACCAGTGCACTCTCCCCACCCTATTCACCACATTCCCTTTGGTCAGGTATATCCTGATCCGAGAGCGCATAGACATAGTTCACGGCCACTCAGCCTTCTCGGCATTGGCTCATGAGGTGATGTTTCACGCGAAGACACTGCACCTCAAGACTGTGTTCACCGATCACTCGCTCTTTGGGTTCGCCGACTCCAGTGCTATCATCACCAATAAGTTGCTCCAAATCCTGTTAGCCATCTGTAACCGAGTCATCTGTGTCTCGCATACCGGGTATCATATAGTGAATGGTCTGTCCATCTGTTCCACTGTCCACTCAAACCATGTTTTTGTATGCTTTGTATGACAGCAAAGAGAACACAGCGCTGAGGGCTGGCGTCGACCCGAACCGCATATCTGTGATCCCCAACGCCGTCGACACCGATATATTCATGCCGTCCACCGATAAGCACACCACTCATCCCAATACCAGTCCGTATCTGTCAATCACTTCATAACTGATTTTTTTGCATTCAATGATATGATTATCTTTCCAAACCACAAGACAAACCCTTCACATAATTATTAACCCAATGTTATAGATATCATAATTTATTTAATTGAGTTCAAGGACTTTAAGTTACCGGAAGTGTGCTCTTATAGTTTGCTTCGAGTATTTTGTTATCAGTTTAAGTGTACTTACAATTAGTAGTTCACTATATTAAGTATTGATTAACTAATTAGAGAGATATAACTCATGTTTGACAACCAATTCAAACAAAGTTTAATTGAATTATAGTTAGACCTAAATTATTGTTATGTCTGCATAACTACGGCACTACTAAAAGTGGAAATCTTATATTTATAGCGACAATAGTAGTGGTGAGTCGATTGGTGTATCGGAAAGGAGTGGACCTATTGGCGGGAGTCATACCAATCATTTGCCACAAATACAGTGATATCCGGTTTCTGATTGGCGGCGACGGACCCAAGCGTATAGTGATTGAAGAGGTGGTAGAGCGGCATCAGCTCCAGGATAGGGTCACTCTATTGGGTGCCATCAAACACGACGACGTGAGGGATGTTTTAGTCCAGGGGGATGTCTTCCTCAACGCCTCCCTCACCGAAGCCTTCTGTATGGCTATCGTCGAAGCGGCCGCTTGTGGTCTACAAGTGGTGAGCACTCGAGTCGGAGGAATACCAGAAGTGTTGCCCAAAGAGATGATTTGGTTGACTGAGCCATCGGTGAGGGGCCTATTGGACGGACTCGAGAGAGCGCTGGCAGATAGGAGTGCAGGGAATGTCATCTCTCCCTTCGAAGCGCACAAACGCGTCAAAAGCTATTATCAATGGGAAGACATCGCGAAGAGGACTCAAAAAGTATACGACTCTGTGATCAAAGACCCGGTCGACCACTTGGGCCACAGATTGCATAAGTTCTGGCAGTGCGGACCGGTATTCGGCGCCGTATTCATAGTGTTGGCAGTCGTTGAACACTTTCTGTCTGTACTGTTTGCACGACTGGTTCCCATAGACTCTATAGATATCGCACCCGAACTCACAATCAAGAACTTTACCTCACATTCCATGGATTCCTCAAACAATGTTTGCCATTCAATGCCTGACAATAGTTCCCAAAATGGCCACAACTTGGAAGGTGGCGACGGACTCATTGTCAACAAAAGGCTTTCCAAAGACTAGTAGTCATATCCCAGTCCTACTGTATACTATTCCTAAATTTGATACATTGTAAATCATTAAATTTGTTAACAACATGTTTTCTATTTACCGGTGATTTCCCTTAAAAGTGATATTAAACTTATAAAAATTAAATTTCAATACTGTAGTCAATTACTGTACTACAGGTACAGTATATAAGAGTTACACAACTTTACAACAAGTTCTAAACTTTATAAACAATAATAATATTCAAATAAATTAAATTTTTTAATATAAATCAAATTACACGTAAGATTAAATTACTATAACATAATAAAATATAAAAATTAAATTTTTATTTAAAAAAACCCAGATTAAAATTGGGTAAAAGCACTGATCTGTTCAGTTAATCCAAATCTTAACCTATTTTTATTTATAATTAATAAAAATTCACATGGCAATCATATTACCGATAAATAAGTCAATGAAAGCAAGTATTATTTTTTAATTAAGACAAAAAATAAAATAAAAGTCTAGAAATAAAATAAATTAAAAACTTAATTTAATTCAAGTTTATATTCACATATAAACTAAAATTTTTTGGAAACAGAATCTCGAAAATAAGTGGATATTATTTTTAAAAACTTACTAGGGTACTGTCATTGGAATAAAATAACTGCAATAAAAGTGTGGACATTACCAAGGTGTATTAATGCTGTTAGTGAATCACTAACTTAGTGATTCGATGTAATTCAGTGTCAGTGAAAGTGGTGATGTTGATGTGGTAGTTATGGTGATCTAGGTCGAATTTGCGCAAATCGGATTCAGTGCCAAAAGTGTTGTGTTGTTGTGATATTCTAGTATTAATAGTGATGTCGCAATACTATAACTGTAACAGTAATATGTCCCTGATATTATTATCATTCAAGCATACATTCACAATAACACACATTTTACAAGCAAATCATTAACACAAACACTATTTATTAACATTTATTAACATTTGTCACTTAAATACACACCAATGCTATCATTGTATGCATTGAATAGTCATATAATTTGATGATTACTTTGCCATCAATTTCAAGTCATTCTCCAAGACATGGAAGTGATTGCCACTAATCATTAGTGCATTCAGTCATATATTCTGCAAATTATTTATTATATTTTCTGTGAATCCATTCAATTATTTATGATCTACTGGTGACCAGCGATGGCTCAAAACATATGTTCATTAGTCAAGAATCGGATTTGTTTGCACCGATTGGTAGCCATCAATGGTTCCCATTGTCTGCTATTCAACCAAAGACTTATAGCTAATCACACGAGTCATGCCTCGGCACAAGTGACGGCACAACCAGTTAAACGGGAATTGGATACCAATTTCGACAACACGTCGGAAGCGTTTAAAAGTAAGACAACTGCAGAACTGATCCGAGCCTTAGTTGTCCTCAAGTTGTGCTCATTTGATATCATTGTCAACAATCACCCCAAGGTATGGCTCAAGACTTTCACTATCACTATATTTGCACTCAATATTTGCTAAACACTTGACCCTAAATAAGTACAGTACTAGTAAATTACTATATTAATAGTTTACATTAGTCTAATTCTGGTACCATTTGATTGCCATAAATACAGTGTAGCTTATATTCTGTAGTTTAATGTATTATTTATGAATTACATTTTGAAAATCTTTTGTAACAATTAACAACTACAACAATTAGAAAGTTTTAATACGAGCTCTTATGATAGAATTGAATACAGAATTTCACTTTTGATATACAGTACTATTCAAAGATCGATTGCTTTCCACTTTTTATCGTAACTAACAGTATTTCTCCAAACGAGTGTTATCTCTATGCTATCATTATTTCAATGAATAACTTTCTCTATAGTCTGAAGTTTATCTTATTTTATCACTTCATATGAGGTGTTGTTACCAAAGCATGTAAAGTGGAAACACTGTTGTTAAGCCTTATTAAGTACACCAGCACTTCATATGGCAAACAATATTCATTTAAAACGATGTCTTTTCTAAAAGCTCATCAAATTTGGTCGAAAAGTTTTTGGCGAAAATATATTCAAATGGATGTTAAAGACCTCATTCTATGGACAGTTTGTGGCCGGAGAGGACGAGGTGTCCATTCGTCCCATTTTAGACCACTTGCGCTCCTTTGGGGTGAAGTCTATACTGGACTACAGTGCCGAAGAGGACATCTCTGAAGAACAGGTCATCGACACTGAAATGCCGTAAGAAATACTCGTTTCTAAACACATTTATAGCAATACATTAATTTGTAGTTTTATTTGATTGAAGTTCCCAGGAATCAAAACCGGATAACAATTCTGATAACACGACAAAAGGTTTAATCATCCAAACCGTTGTAATTGAACCTAAATTAAAATTAAAATTAATGTTGAAATGTATGGACAGACCCTCTAAAGCAATATTCGGCACAAAAGGAGTTTGCGGATCGGCGTAAGTACCGACCCGTCGCGCGAACCTATTTCTATATGAATGAAGCCAATTGTGAGAAGAATATGACCACTTTCCTCAAGTGTATCGACGCCGTGGCCGGTGCTACACATCACACAGGCTTTGCTGCCATTAAGTTGACCGCATTAGGGCGTCCCGGTATGTCATCACAGAGCATATATTAGATGTTAGAAACCTATATTAAATATCTGAAACTAATTGTTTGTAATCTATTGCTACGACAGTATTATTGTCGCAGTTATCGGAAGTGATCGCCAGAACCCGAGACTACTTCACGAGCATAACAGGCGTGGAGAAGATGGTTCGGGGACACATCACACCCGAGGAGTTCCAGAAGCATTTGGACCAGAGATTCAGAATCAAGACCGACAACCAGGACATAAAGAATTGGTTCAAACAAATGGATTACGACAGGAGAGGACTGATGAACCTGTTCTCGTGGAACGGACTCATAGATCTGCAGCACTTAATCAACGATCTCTTCCAAGTGCCGAATCTGACGACCGGTCGCTTCGAACCCATAATCAACGCCTTGACGCCCGAAGAGGACTGATGAACCTGTTCTCGTGGAACGGACTCATAGATCTGCAGCACTTAATCAACGATCTCTTCCAAGTGCCGAATCTGACGACCGGTCGCTTCGAACCCATAATCAACGCCTTGACCCCCGAAGAGGAGGAGATGTTCAGGAATATGATGAGACGGATCCACACCATCGCCAGCACTGCCAGAGATAGGGACGTCCGGGTGCTTATAGACGCCGAGCAGACATACTTCCAACCGGCCATCAATCGGATTACTATGGAATTGATGCGCAAATATAACAAAGAAAAGGCTATTATATTCAACACATACCAGTGCTATCTTAAAGTGGGTGATACTTGGGTTTGAAATGAAACACATTTTTATACTTTATCTACCGGTGCTCTCCATTAGAGTGCCCACGAGTGTTGTGTCGTAGACCTGGAACTGGCGCAGAGGCAGAACTTCTACTTCGGGGCTAAACTGGTTCGCGGGGCGTATATGGAACAGGAGAGGGAAAGGGCTAAACTGGTCGGCTATGAGGACCCCATCAACGATACCTACGAACTCACGACTGCTATGTATCACAAGAATCTGGAATTCTTTATGAGAAAAATCATTGAATCCGGGATCGAGAACAAGAAGATTGCAATTATGGTCGCATCACATAATGAGGACACCGTCCGATTCACTGTTGATAAGTCCGTCAATAGTCTCTCTCTCTCTCTCTCTCTCTCTCTCTCCCCTCATAAATGAATTGAAGAATAACTAAACAATTGTTACTAATTATTATGCAATAGAATGAAAGAACTGGGAATTGGAAGACAGCATAAAGTGATATGTTTTGGACAGTTGTACGGAATGTGCGATCAAATCAGTTTCTCTTTGGGTATACTTTTGTTTGAATTGCATATACAGTACATGTAATACATTTTATTTGTCACCTAATATTAGGTCAAACGGGATATTCTGTGTACAAATACGTGCCGTACGGACCGGTGGATGAGGTGATCCCATACCTGTCTCGTCGTGCGGTCGAGAATCACGGGATCATTAAAAACGCGAAGAAAGAGAGACGACTTCTCTCTAAGGAATTGATTCGTCGCTTAAGAAGTGGTGATGTCTTTCACACACCGGTTGGCGATTATACTCCCATTTGAGCGCATATTCTGTATATTTATTAAGTTTTAAATGACTTTTAGTTCATTTTATCCAAAGTTTTATGATTGCAATGTATCGTAATATGATAACTAATATTTAAAACATTAAAATCAGTATTTTATTTAAAAAAACATTTACCGGTACAGTATTTACTTGATGACTAGGGGTGTTAAATTGAATAAATTTATTTTGGGTATTGATATTGAACATATATAATAGATAATTTAAACTTATGGAAATATAAATCCTTAAGATACAATACAGTTGAATACATGACCAATGAATTGTCATGATAACGCCACTCGCTTTGAAAACCCTTTTCCTTAATTTAACTTAAATTTAAATTTAAATTAACTTATCTTAATTTTAAAAAATGGATTTTACGGTATGCTATGTTTGTCTAATTTGAATGGTATTATATGAAAAATTATCATGATGAACCAAAAACAATCTGACTAGAGATAAGAGACACAATGATATCTGTAAACTCACTCGAGATTATCATTAATAAGTTATTACTAATAACGTTAACCTCAAAGCATTTGATTATCAATTAACCGATGGCTCAAACGATTGGCACGGATTGCAAAGAGTGGCACAAAAGCAACAAAATCTCGTTTATCTGTCACTCAATTATCTTCGTTGTCGTCATTATGAATATACAGAAGAGTGGAATCGATTCTCAAGAGTCAAAGCTCAAGACAATTATCATATATTGGACATCAATTGCATGTGATATTCAAGTGGATGATAGTGTGACATGTCTTCAGCGGATGTTTTATATAAATATATATATATTTTATATAAAAAATTCCCATCAATACGACGATTAGCTATATATCCGGATATATCCGCACGAAATACAGTGGTTTTGTATGAATCACTCAATGATATCTCAAATGTGGTGTCAATTCATTTGTTGGTCGACTGGATGTGTTGACAATTACATACACTTTTGCCGACAATTTATTACACATTTTAGTGAATTGTATGAAACAAATGAACGAAAAATGTTCACAATTTGGATATTCATTGACATAAATGTGGATGAATTGTGTTCCCGACAACATATGCCCGCAAATGTCTCAATCAAAAGGTATTAGGATTGAGACAATGTTCAAGAAAGCAATTATATTTAGTCTTTTTATCAAATACACACTCATTTTATTAGAAATTATTAGACTTATTTTAAGCTTAAATGATATTTTTCAATTAACTTTATTTATTCCTCAAAAAGTATGTTATTTATGATGAATAGAGAGAAATAATTTTCAAATTGTAAAGTATCTTATTGTGAGATATTTTGATAAAATCTGAAAATTGTTAAAATATCTCTTATCTTTAATTAAAATTAAGTTGTACTTGTATACAATTTTTAAATTTAGATATATAGTAATACTGTATTCACTTATTAATAAAATTAGTAAACAAGAAAACTTTCTCAAACTTTGTGTCAATTTACAGTCAATCATAAGTTTATTAAACTTCTAACAAATAATCCAATTATAAGTAAAAGTTGTAAAACAATGATAAGAGTTAAACCATGCGTACAGAAAGTGTCGGACTTTTGTGGTGAGAAAATGTGTCATCAGTTGTGACCCAAAGATAAGTTAATATTCGTCTCATTAATAGCTGACATAATTGACATTACAATTGATTCATTGAAATCCGAGTCCATGTCTTGACTGGCGATTGAAATACTAGTGAAAAGTTGGTGGCCTTGACTGGTGTGCAAAGTTTTGCGACTTAAGACCCGGACAAACCTGATTTCATTGTTGATTTCAGTCTCAACCCATTTCGCTGTTAATACAGTGCTTATCGTCGTATTCACTGCTCTTATAAACATATGAATGAATGAAATACTTTGAGAAATACAATACAAATATTATGAAATATAAATATCTGGACACAACTATTATTTCGTTGTTGTTTGGTGTTTGTTGGCAACTTTCATCCGGCAGATTATTGTTGAAGTCCAATGAAATAGAAAGTGAGTTAAAGGATGACAAACATGGCATCAAAATGGGAAAAGTATTTCACGGATGCGATGATGCGATGGTATGTTGTATTGGAGTTCAATATTAGTGTAGATTTCGTATTCATATTAATTATAATTGTGTTTCAATTCAATGTGTTATCAAATTCCTTACACTTTATCTCAAGTTTCTGTTTGCATTCAATTATCTGTTAATTCATTGTGTGTTTGTAACAACTTTCTGGTATTTGATTAATGCTTTCCAAATAAGTGATAAAATATATTCAAATAACTTTTCAATAGTTTGTAAATCCTTTTTAATTTGTTTCTACAAACAAATAAGATTTCAAATCAGATTGAACAGGGCATTTGAATTTACTTATTGATATTTTTTCTAGCTACTGACTTTTAGCATGTAATGTTATAATTTTGAATTTAATTTACTTGATAATTGTCGACGTTTTATAACTTCTGACTCTGAGTTTGAAACACAAGTATTATTCGTTGAGATCTAACAAATAGCTTATATTATAAGTATTACTATTGTTAAATTTATTAATTTTATAATTATTTACAATTTTGAATTATTTTTTCAGAATGACCTGGACATAGACTGGGACGGATCGCCACTAAACTATACCTGTTATAATCCTCAACACCCGTTACCAGTATTAAAACACATCACGAGTATTGAAACATGTGATCCAATTCCTGATGGATATTATGTAATAAATGTTTTGAAACTTTTATTTGTGTTTAAACTAAACTCTGTTAATTGTATCGATGGTAAGCCTCAACACCACTGTATGGGTGACCCAATCGTCTACAACACAACACTTTCCACATATGGAGACCACAGACCTCTTTGGCCGGTGTTTGGAGAATACATATTCGTTCCCAAACAGCGATGGCTTCACAACATTGAAGTAGACTTTCATTCATACGATATTTTTTAATGCCTTCCCTTATATAACAATTCAAAAATCACTAAACTTATACCTAATATCTATATCTAACTTATATCCATAGCACGGGGCAGTTGTCATGTTATACCATCCCTGTGCTAACAAAGTAATGGTGTCTCGATTGCGAGCACTGGTCACCAGTTGTATGCGAAAGCATGTCATCACTGCTTATAATTTGATGGACAGTGAGAGACCACTGGCTCTGATCGCATGGGGCTGTCGGTTGACCATGAATACAGTGGATACGGATACTGTCGTTTCATTCATTAAAGTAAGTTTTCCATAAGGAATAAGTGAACACTTTATAAATACACTATTTCATGATGATGTGGATCAATTTTATACTCAAACTATGCCTCTATTAATGAATAATCGCAGAGAAAATCAATGAAAGGTCCGGAGGGTCCCTACCCTAAGGAGGGTCAATACAAACACCTATTAGTGAAGTTGGCTGAACCCCCGCACGGCTCGGACTATAATGACTCCAAAATATGTCCTCATTTTTAAACCTAAAACTGATATTATTTTTTATAAATTATTGATTTTATTATTAATTCTAATTAGAAATGTTGTTTCAAATATTTAAACCAAACTTATGGCCAAAACTCATGTGATTATAGATTGTTTTAATTTTAATATTTTTTGTTACTATAAAGTTGTTAAAACCACTCAATTTTATACTTAAAATAAATTGAAAAATTGTTTGCGATGTCAACGTTTGAATGATTGATAACCACTGGACAGTTGATAAAAACTTTGAG